CTACCAAACCGCTATATTAGCAACCAGCCGGCAGCCCGAAAAGGAATTCATCTATCCAACCGTTCAATCCAACAGCTGTCCCTTTGACTAGGCTAGACAGCTACATCGCAGACCTCTGACGAACCTGTCTTCGCAAGCCTTCCAAAGCCGACAGCCCAGTCGTCAACTGACGAAGAACCCGTCCGTACGAGCCTGTAGCTACAGACAGCTTCTTCATCAACCTACGAAGAGCCCGTCCGTCAGACCCGACCCTCGCGGACACTCTCTTCCTCGAACCTGACGAACCTGTCCGCTCGAGCCTTCCAACGCGGACAGCCACATCGTCAACCCACGAAAAGCCCGTCTGTTGCGACTGACCCCTCGCAACAGCTAAATTGCGCACCTTCGAAGAGCCTGTCTGACCGCTCTTCCCTCGTCAGACAGCTCTCTCGTAGGTCCACGATAACCCTGTCCGACCCGCTTTCCTCCGTCGGACAGCGAGGCCCTCCACCTGCGATACAACTGTCCTATCCACCTTGCCAAGAAGACAGCTGTATCGCTCAGAGCCGAAGGGCCTGTCCGACCCGTCTTCCTTCGTCGGACACCTACAGCGCTCGGAGCTGAAGGGTCTGTCCGATCTGTCTTCCCTCGTCGGACACCTACAGCGCTCACAGCCGAAGAGCCCGTCCAACCTCTTCGACTTCTCAGACAGCCTCTTCGCGTTCCTTTGAAGAGCCTGTCTGACTTCTCTTCTTCCGTTAGACAGCCGGATCGCGCCTGTGCGAAAAGCCTGTCTAACCCCTTTTTCCTTCAAGACAGACCTATCGCCAGTCCCTGACTAGCCCGTCTGTCAAACCCGGCCTTCCTAGACAGCCTCTTCGCGTTCCTTTGAAGAGCCTGTCTACGGCTACCGCTAGCTGCGGACAACCTCTTTGTGTTCCTTTGAAAAGCCCGTCTAAGATGGACTGCCTCGAGAGACACGAGCAGCAGGCCTACAGACGTGACCGCAACCGTCGGACCTGTGGCTCTTGCAGTCAGCTGTATCCTACAAGAAATACCCTTTTTCAGCACCTTAAGAAGGGTAGTTGCTTTCAAAAGGACCCTTGGGGGGTTGATCCGACCCATCGCACGTATTGGAAATACGGGTCTTTTCAACCCTTCCAACAACAGCTGCAACAGCCACTTTCCTTTCCTCCTTCCTTTAATCATTGGATTCATCATCCGGACCGTCCTATCCGTCGAAGACGACCTGGCCCTGATCATATTAGCCCAGGCCTGCGAGAATACGATCAGTGGTCGGTCGCTAGCTTCCACGGTCCCCGGCCTAGCCGACCTGACCCTGATCGTATTAGCCTAGGCTCGCGAGAATACGATCAACGGTCAGTCGCTAGCTTCAGGAGTTACCGGTCTAGCCAACCTGATATTGATCGTATTAGCCTAGGCTCGCGAGAATACGATCAACAGTCAGTTGCTAGCTTCGAGGACTACGGACCTTACGGTCCCGACGTTGATCGCGATAACCGTGGCGGTAAGGAAGGCGATCAGCAGTCGGTTGATAGCTTCGAAGGCTACAGACCTGACGGTCCCGATATTGATCGTAATAACCGTGACGACGGAGAATACGATCAACAGTCGGTTGATGGCTTCGAAGGCTACGGACCTGACAGTCCTGACGTTGATCGCGATAACGGTGTTGATGAGGAATCCGATCAACAGTCAGTTGCTAGCTTCGAAGGCTACAGACCTGACGGTCCCGATGTTGATCGCGATAGCCGTCAGCCACACGAATACGATCAACAGTCGGTTGATAACTTCGAAGGCTACGGACCTGAAGGTCCTGACGTTGATCGTGACGGCCGAGATCAACAGGAATACGATCAAGGCTCCGTTGCCGACTTCGAAGTTGACCGGTCTGACGAACCTAGCGTTGATCGCAACAGCCGCGATCCGCGAGAATACGATCAGACCTGTGTCAGCGTATTCGAAGGCTTCGGACCTGACGGACCTGACCCTGATTGTGATAGCCGAGATCCCCGGGAATACGATCAAGGCCCTGTCGCTAGCTTCGAAAGCCACGGGCCTGACCGACCCGGCGTTGATCGCGATAACTGTCATCCACAGGGATACGATCAAGGCTCCGTTGCTGACATCAATCTGGCTGAGTGGTATAGCAGGATAAAGGAAGAATACTCTTGGCTGTTCGAAAGCCAAGAGCCTCGAGGATACGATCGAGATCCTGTTCCTAGCTTCGAAGGCTACGAGGCTGAAGGACCTGACTTCGATCGTGCCAGCCGAGACGGGCCAGAATACGATCGAAGCCGGGTCAACAGCTTCGAGGGCTACGAGGCTGAAGGACCTGACTTTGATCGTGCCAGCCGAGACTGGCCAGAATATGATCGAAGCCGGGTCAACAGCTTCGAGGGCTACGGACCTGACGGTCCTGACTTTGATCGCGATAGCCAAGTTCATCGAGAATAC